GTTTCTTAAAGCTTGAAAATAAGAAATAGTTCTTTTTTATATACCGGGTGCATCTCAAAAGTGGCTCACCCCTATAACTTTTTCATTTTTTCAGATAAAAAAACGAGATTTGCTATGTTAGTATATGACGTAAATTTTTTTTGATTGACGTATTCAATTGTTTTTAGTCACTTCCTGTTTCACTGGAAATGACTACAACTTTTGATTTTTAAATGGCACCCTCGCTATTTTTTTACTTTATTTGGTAGAAAATGACACTCTGAATAGAATTACATATCATATGTTAACTTTTGACATTTTTGCTTTTAAAAAATCTTATTTTAAATTTCTATTTAGAGTGCTATGGTTGCGTTAAAAGCACTAATTTTTATTCAAGGAGCCTTGGAAAAATAGATTTGATCGTATAATGTTTTTGTGTCTTGTCCTGGTCGGTTGAAAGATGCACAAATCGTATTTTTAATCATATCTCAATTTGTTCAAATGGAACGAGGGTGGCTCATAGGCGCACTCTTTAATTTGGAAAAAGCATTTTTTTACGAATAATTTGGTACCACACACTAGGTATTTCGAGTCAAATTATCGTTATGAACCGCATGTTACAATTTCAAATTAACCATATGAGAAAATTTCAAAAGTTGACATACGATATGTCATTCTATTCAGAGTGCCATTTTCTATCAAATAAAGTAAAAAAAAATACCGAGGGTGCCATTTAAAAATCAGAAGTTGTAGTCATTTCCGATTAAACAGGAAGTGACCTCTCAAATCAAATGATATGAGTCATTCCAGATCATTCGGCCAATCATACGTAGTCAATCATCAGAGCAGTGCTAACCTTAAATATTAAATTAGTTAGTTCCTACCTAGAATTTTCATCCGTTCAAAAAATACACAAAACTTAATAACCGGGAAAAATCTGACGGATATTTTTGACGGACGCATTTTATTTTCTCATTAAAATATAAATGAAATTCTATTTTAAAAATGCTTCATGCTCGCTTAACTAGCATCCCGTTTAAATTTTTACTCCTTTTATTTCGGTATAAAAATGGAGTCGCGCCGAGAATTAAAAAATGTAATTAAGTAGAAATACTAACAAACTGAAACGCGTTTACTTTGAGCTATAAGGGAAAACTGATTTGAGTTCATTAAAAAATATTTTTCTGGTTTGCGTAAACTCCAGATTTATATAACGTTAGTGAAATGAAGTTGTAATATTTGTATATTGTATTGTACTCCTCTTTAGTTAGAAATTTGTGAACACCCTGTACATTATTTTTTAGGAATAATTCTTGTGCTGACTTTGAAGCCAGAGAAATAAACTTTACTAAAAAAAATTATTGCTTCTTTAAATGTATACAGGGGTATCAAATATTGCTGGTCTATTTTAAATATCTATTTTATATAAAAACTTTGTTATTTCAAATACAACACTATGTATTTTTTTAAATAAATCGAGGCAGATTTAAGTGCTCGTTAAAACTATATTAGGGTTTCCTATACCTGTCTGGCTCAGATTTTGAATAAAAAGCGATTTTTCAATAAAATTGTAATCAAGATGGCTGGTATGACCATGGCAACTTTCGAGTTACACTTAGTAGCTATTTTTGAAGTCGATATTAGTTTATGGACTTTATTTAAATTTATAACAGGTTATTTTTATTTAATTTACCTACAATAAGGTTAATAAGTAAGTATTTATTACTTTATTAAGAAAAATGAAGCAGTATCTGGCAGAAAGAATGGATTTGTTACTATACTTTGTTTTTTTTTCTCAGGTAAGATTTCGACAGACGATGACAGAAGAAAAGCAGATGACGTCCCATACCAATCTATTTATTTTACTAAAAAAAGTTTCTAATAATTTTTAAGTTAACTATGGATGGGTTTAAATATAAATTCGTCATGCGTCGTCACTTGTTGTTTTTAACCGTTTTATTGGTTTATTTCAAAAATGACAGATCGTATTTCAATTTTATTGGTTTGACGGAACGATGAACAACAAACGGACGCCGATGCGTATGAACTCGCCTTTAGATTTTTGACGTTTGTCAAAGTCTTGCCAAATATAAGTTATAATTTTGTGACAACTTGTGTCAAATACCCTGCCTTTTGGAAGATGATGCATTTTGATTCGTGCTATTACGTGTGTTTTGTGTCTTTTGAAGTCAAGTGGAGGAAAAATCGAGTGAAAATTAACTGTAGAACCCAGAGCACAGTTTATTTGAGTTTATGGTTAATACTCGCTGCCCAGGCAGAAAGTCTTAAACAGATACACCAAGAAAGTTACTATCAATAAAGTTCGTATACCATCTCGTCGTAGATAAGTGCATCTCGAATATGGTAGAAGGACCATACTAAACCCATACTAAAAACTGGAGTAGCTGTAAAATATCGACATCACACGATAGGTAAATAATGAATTTTAGTACTGCAGAAAAATAATGTCAAAAGGTACTGGTTTAAAAAAATTAAGATTAAAGTTAATTAATCAACCTGTGAGGTATAAAATTTGGTAAGTGTTATTATTAATAAAATGGTTTGTTTTATTTATATTGTTTTATTTACTCCTGCGGAATATTACAAATTTGTATTTGTACATAAATTATATTGATAAATATAATCATAAATGCGGGAAGTTTCACAAAGCTTGAAAGTAAAAAATAGTTCTTTTTTATATTTTTTGGTATGTGGTGTCTTGTTTTTGTTTGTTTTGTATTAACACATACCGTTTTTTATTAAATAAAATAACTCGATTACATTTTTCAGTTTTGTACAGTTTTTTCACAATATTTTGAAGTTACTTGTCAGTCAAATTTTAAATACATATATTAATTTCCTGCTATGCGTTCCAGTTGTACCAACTTTTTTCTTTGTAAAATAAAATAAACTACTTTGAAATTAAAATGACAGACACATCTATCACTATCTGACTATAGTGATTTTATTTTTTGAGGACAAATGGCTTGTTGGCTGCTGAAGGGTTTATGCTCAAAGATATCCAAATAGGAATTTTTTTGACAATCGTTCCTTTGAAAAACTAACTCTTATTTCGCTGAGCTTGTGGTATATGAAAACCCTATTAGGCAGAAACCTGTCGTTGGAAGTGAAGAAAATGAATTGGCCTTAATTGTTATAGAAAATCCAATTTATCTACAAGTCATCGTAATATACATCAAAAAGGCCTACTTCTTTATTTTTCTTGATAAAATTATAAATAATACTTACTCTAAACTATTGTAGGTAAATTAAATAAAAGTAAACTGTTATAAATTTAAATAAGGTCCATAAACTGTTGTCGATTTTGAAAATAGCTACTAACTGTCACTAGCAAATTGCAATGGCGACACCAGCCATCTTGATTGCCATTTTATTGAAAAATCACTTTTTATTAGAAATCTGAGCCAGATAGGTGTAGGAAACGCTAATATAGTTTGAAAGAGCATTTAAATTTGCTTCGATTTATTTTTAAAAAAATACATAGTGTTGTATTTGAAGTAACGAAATTTGTATGTAAAATAAATATTTAAAATAGACCAGCAATTTTTGATACCCCTGTATAAATTTAAGGAAGCAATCAGTTTTAAACTTAATAAAGTTTATTTCTCTGGCTTCTAAGTCAGCACAAGAATTAAATCTGAAAAGTAATGTACAGGGTGTTGACAATTTTTATTATAACATGCCATATAAATATATATATATATATATATATATATATATATATATATATATATATATATATATTTTATATATATATATATATTAAATATATATATATATAAATCCATAAGAAAAACCAAAGCATTTAAACATATTAAACCCTTATAATAAATGCCTTATTTTATGCCCAAGAATCCAAAAATTAAATAAAATACCGGGTGTTCCATAAGAAAAAATATAACTTTGATATGGATCTTAGTTCTGATACACCCTGTACATTTGAAAATAATTTTAAAATATGCACATCACCTCTCTACATATACCCTCAGAAATGTATGTTTCTAGATCTTTCCGTTTTCGTATAATCAACCGAGGCGGATGAGGTGCGCCACCCTGTATTTTAACTTGTTTTTGAAAAATAACAACTTTGAAATAAATTAAACCAAAAACTGGTAAATAAAAAACAAAGAAAATACGATCAAAATTAAAAGGTAATAATTTGGCGTGATCTGTAAGAGTTTTTGAAATGACGTTTTAATTTTAAAATTATGAAGACGTAGGCTTTAAAAGAGATAAAAGATCGGACCAGATAACTTAATTTGAATATAAATTTTCCGGGTATTCTGAAACTCAATAAATTGAACAAACTGTAGCTTGGTTGATTTAGGCTTTGTTGATTTATAGAAAATAAAATTGAAAAGTAATTAGATCAAATATTCTTAAAGATCGTATCTAATTTATTTTAGTATGTTTATTAAAAGTGTTACTACAATAATATTTTTATGATGCTTATCATAATTTTGTTTTAATATAATAAAAAATATAACCTACGTTTATAAGTCATATACCCAATTTTTTTATGTAATTTCATATTAGTTTCTAGCATTCTTTTGGTATTGTGGTCACAGTCTATTCATACCCAGCCTACCGACCAATCATTTGCATGAATATCTCCGTACCTTCCTAGATATTCGTTTAACTTTTGTATTAAGTCGAATTCTGAGCTCCATAGAAGCTTCGTTTAAAAAAATCGAACAAAAAATATTAGCAACTTGTATTGAATAAGCTGTCATTGAGATTATTTCGTCTTAATCGCATTTTTTAAATAGTTTCTAATAAATTAATATTTTTTTAATTTTTAAAAGATTTTGTGTAGTAGAATGTCGTTCAAAAAGTATTATTGGAAGCATATTTTCACTTCTATCATCTTAATTATATTAAAATCAAAACTTGATGACAACTCAAATTCACAATACTATTTATTTACAAAATAAATACCAGATAATTTATATTTATTAAAAGTTAACAGTATTCTTAAATTTTTATTTTTATCTTTTCAGATCCGTGTTTGTCCCACTACTGTCCTAGTGGAAGAGAATGTGTAGTTCGTGACGACAGACCCGAATGCGCATGTTCAAAAAAATGCGTACCGCGCAGACCAGTCTGCGCATCGGACGGTACAGTGTATCTAAGCCATTGTCATATGCACAGTACAGCTTGTAGCACAAAACAGAGGCTCACACAAATGCCATCTAATTTCTGTACCAAACTCGGCAATGATGGTAAGAGTTAGACTTATTAATAGAACATTATAATAAGTAATTTAATATAATTTATCTTATATTTGATTACTATAGATGCGATAAAAAAACTTATAGAAACAGTAGTAGAGATTGTAATAGTTTGGTTGGCAATAAGTTTAAGAAATTCGAATATACAGGGTGAGTCTTAAATAAGTGCAAATATTTTCAGGGTTGGTAGATCTCAATAAAAGAAACATATTTTCTCTTCACTGTTTTTCAAATAAGTCCAAAATAACCGAAATGTTTTACTTTGAAAATTTCTAAAAAATTGATTTTTTGCTTAAATTTTGAGAACCACTGAATCCTTTCTGTTTTTTATTCTGGTAAATTTAATTTACTACCTATTGCCATATTATCAGGAAATTATGTTTTTAACTAAAAACTAAAAAAAATATTTTTTTTTCTAAAAATTCCAGATTTTCAAAAAAAAAATTCGAGAAAAAACCTCATAATCATGTTTCTGAGTTCAAAATATACTACCACTAAAAATATTTGCACTTTTTTAAGACTCACTCTGTATATTGGCTGTTCTCACTAGCGTCAAAACAAACCAAAAATTATTTTTTATTATTTTGTTAATAAAACGCATATTAAGATATCATAAACTAACTTTATTTCTAAAAAATGTTTGTAAGAAGCTACCGAATATACAATAAAATACATTTGAAAGTAGTAGTAAGAAGTTTCAAATATTTTTATGAATTTAAAAGTCAAAATATATCTTTATCCTATTGTTCCGTCTTTGTTTGCTGCTTCCTAGCTAACAGTATTTTCAAATCGCCTAAATATACGTTTCTATTATTTAAGAAATAATTAAACTGTGTTTTAAATGTTACTTCTCCGATTTCGTTAAATTTTCAATATTGTTTTAAAATGCCGGGATGGAAATAAGCTGTTATTATGTAAATATTTATTTTCTATATTGAGCACTATAGTTTTATTAGAAAAAGTAATTTTTTCATTGAAACATATGTGAACCCTACAAATAAAGTAGAAAACTATAAACACACTAAACCTAAAATTTTCTAACACAGTTTCTACAACTATTGCTCCGTATTGTCATAACTTTTGTTTTGAAAAATTCATGAAAAAATAGTAAATCTATCGAGGAATGCCAGTTACCTTATGACAAAAATAAAAGGCAAAAAGTATCAAACCCATATTTTATAGTTCGGTAGAAAACGAACAGTCGCTGGTTCTATTAGATCTACGTCTAAAATGAAAGATAAATTTATTTACGCGCTTGTAACCAGAGCGAATCGATCCAATACGGTCGAACGGCAAAACCGCAAAAAAATGTTATCTCGGTTACATAATTTATTTGATTGTGATGCGCCATTCTCCGTTAATTTATCAAAATCCTTGAAAGGAGTAAATCAACATTGTTCGGTAATTTTAAACGCAATTTTAGTTATAAATTTAGTTGCTTTATCAGTTTAGTGTATAAGTTTTAGAACGTTGGTAGTAATTGAACCAATTGTGCCAATCACTAAACCTAAAATTCTCTAACACAGTATGGCATACTATTGCTCTGTATTATTACTGACATTTTGAAAAAAACATAGAAATATGAGAGAAATAGTAAATCTATAGAGAAATGCCAGTTACCTTAAGTTAAAAATAAAAGGCAAAAAGTATCAAACCCATATTTTATAGTTCGGTAGAAATCGAACCAGTCGCTGGTTCCATTAGATTTACGTCTAAAATGAAAGATAAATTTATTTTTTGGCAGTCGCTTGTAACCAGAACGAACCGATCCAATACGGTCGAAAGGCAAAACCGCAAACAAAATGTTATCTCGGTAACATAACTTATTCGATTGGGATGCGCTGTTCTCCGTTAATTTATTAAAATCCTTGAAAGGAGTAAATCAACATTGATCGGTAATTTTAAACGCAATTTTAGTTATAAATCTAGTTACGTTTGTCAGTTTAGTGTATATGTTTTAGAACGTTGGTAGTAATTGAATCAATTGTGCCAATCACTAAACCTAAAATTCTCTAACACAGTATGGCATACTATTGCTCTGTATTATTACTGTCGTTTTGGAAAAACATAGAGAAATAGTAAATCTATAGAGAAATGCCAGTTACCTTATGATAAAAATAACAGGCAAAAAGTATCAAACCCATATTAATTTTATGGTTCTGTAGAAATCGAACAATCGTTGGTTCCATTGGATCTACGTCTAAAATGAAAGATAAATTTATTTACTGGCAGTCGCTTGTAATCAGAGCGAATCTATCCAATATGGTCGAACGACAAAACCGCAAACAATATGTTATCTCGGTTACATAATTTATTTGATTGTGATGCGCGTGCTCTGTTAATTTATTAAACTCCGCCAAAGAAGTAAATCAACATTGATCGGTAATTTTAAACGCAATTTTAGTTATAAATCTAGTTGCGTTTGTCAGTTTAGTGTATAACTTTTAAAACGTTAGTTCTAATTGAACCAATTGTCAAACAAATCACTAAACCTAAAATCCTCTAAAACAGTATCGCCGACTATTGCTCTGTATTATAACTGATGTTTTGAAAAAACATAGAAAAATAGTAAATCTATAGAGAAATACCAGTTACCTTATGTTAAAAATAAAAGGCAAAAAATGTCAAACCCATATCTTATAGTTTGGAAGTCGAACAGTCGTTCGTTCCATTAGATCTACGTCTAAAATTAAAGATAAATTTATTTTCTGGCAGTCGCTTGTAACCAGAACGAATCGATCCAATATGGTCTATCAGCAAAACCGCAAACAAAATGTTATCTCGGTTACATAATTTATTGACTGTGATGCGCCGTTCTCCGTTAATTTATTAAAATCCGTGAAAGAAATAAATCAATATTAATCGGTAATTTCAAACGCAATTTTAGTTATAAATCTAGTTGCGTTTGTCAGTTTAGTGTATAAGTTCTAGAACGTTGGTAGTAATTGAACCAATTGTGCCAATCACTAAACCTAAAATTCTCTAACACAGTATGGCATACTATTGCTCTGTATTATTACTGTCATTTTGAAAAAAACATAGAGAAATAGTAAATCTATAGAGAAATGCCAGTTACCTTAAGTTAAAAATAAAAGGCAAAAAGTATCAAACCCATATTTTATAGTTCGGTAGAAATCGAACCAGTCGCTGGTTCCATTAGATTTACGTCTAAAATGAAAGATAAATTTATTTTCTGGCAGTCGCTTGTAACCAGAACGAATCGATCCAATACGGTCGAACGGCAAAACCGCAAACAAAATGTTATCTCGGTTACATAATTTATTCCATTGTGATGCGCCGTTCTCCGTTAATTTATTAAAATCCTTGAAAGGAGTAAATCAGCATTGATCGGTAATTTTAAACGCTATTTTATTTATAAATCTAGTTGCGTTTGTCAGTTTAGTGTATAAGTTTTAGAACGTTGGTAGTAATTGAACCAATCGTGCCAATCACTAAACCTAAAATTCTCTAACACAGTATGGCATACTATTGCTCTGTATTATTACTGTCGTTTTGAAAAAAACATAGAGAAATAGTAAATCTATAGAGAAATGCCAGTCTAATGCTAGTTTGGTAGAAGTCGAACAGTCGCTGATTCCATTAGATCTACGTCTAAAATGAAAGATAAATTTATTTTCTGGCAGTCATTTGTAACCAGAACGATTCGATCCAATATGGTCGAAAGGCAAAACCGCAAACAAAATGTTATCTCGGTTACACAATTTATTCGATTGCGATGCGCGGTTCTCTGTTAGTTTATTAAAGTCCTCGAAAGGAGTAAATCAGTATTTATTCGTAATTTTAAACGCAATTTTAGTTACAAATCTAAAATTCTCGAATTTAGAAAAGGCGTCCATTCTTCTCAAAGAGACCTAGTTTAACTGATTAGTCATTGGACACACTGATTGGACATTTTACAGATTAATGTGTGTCCAATCATGTTGATATGAAAAATAAATCTTATTTTTACGTGATGATTCCCCCCACGAGAGATAGCACATGTTTTTTTAAACACCCTGTATAGAGAAATGCCCGTTTCCTTATGTTAAAACTAAAAAGCAAACAGTATGTAAGCCATTTCCGATGCCATATTTTATATTTTGGTAGAAGTCGAACAGTCGCTGGTTCTATTAGATCTACGTCTAAAATGAAAGATAAATTTATTTTTTGGCAGTCGCTTGTAACCAGAACGAACCGATCCAATACGGTCGAAAGGCAAAACCGCAAACAAAATGTTATCTCGGTAAAATAACTTATTCGATTGGGATGCGCTGTTCTCCGTTAATTTATTAAAATCCTTGAAAGGAGTAAATCAACATTGATCGGTAATTTTAAACGCAATTTTAGTTATAAATCTAGTTACGTTTGTCAGTTTAGTGTATATGTTTTAGAACGTTGGTAGTAATTGAATCAATTGTGCCAATCACTAAACCTAAAATTCTCTAACACAGTATGGCATACTATTGCTCTGTATTATTACTGTCATTTTGAAAAAACATAGAGATATAGTAATCTATAGAGAAATGCCAGTTACCTTAAGTTAAAAATAAAAGGCAAAAGTATCAAACCCATATTTTATAGTTCGGTAGAAATCGAACCAGTCGCTGGTTCCATTAGATTTACGTCTAAAATGAAAGATAAATTTATTTTCTGGCAGTCGCTTGTAACCAGAACGAATCGATCCAATACGGTCGAACGGCAAAACCGCAAACAAAATGTTATCTCGGTTACATAATTTATTCCATTGTGATGCGCCGTTCTCCGTTAATTTATTAAAATCCTTGAAAGGAGTAAATCAGCATTGATCGGTAATTTTAAACGCTATTTTATTTATAAATCTAGTTGCGTTTGTCAGTTTAGTGTATAAGTTTTAGAACGTTGGTAGTAATTGAACCAATTGTGCCAATCACTAAAACCTAAAATTCCTCTAACACAGTATGGCATACTATTGCTCTGTATTATTACTGTCGTTTTGAAAAAAATAGAGAAAT